TATTTTTTTCAAATTTTATGAATTTCTTTTTTTTATTTTTGGTGGTGATAATGATCTTGATAGAGAAGATACTGTGAAGCTATTTTCTGTATTACTACTTGAATTAGTTGGAAGTGCATAATACAGAAGAGATATATTGACGTGCAAGATATTCTATAATTATGCAAAGCACCTTAACGGTTAAGTATGTGTTAATTTTAAGCAAGTGAAATATAAGAATTACATTTCACATACCCGTATTGTCAATAAAGTTTCAACAAATTTAAATACCGTATTTCTATCTGTTAGTTGTATTAGAATTTCAACTGTACGCAAATTATAGAAATGATTTACCTCGAATGAGGATATTTAGATGCATTTCAGTTTCAGCGATTTGGATCCTAATAATACCAAAATTATCTTTATCAGGCTTGTATCCTTTGTGAGCCCAATATATTTCATCGTTCATCTCTCTCCAAGTTTTACCCTATCATTTTCTTTTTTTTGTTCGTCATAAATGATACAGGAGCTTTTACCATAAATTAATTCATATGACCTATTATTATAACTAGCGATGAACATAATATCTGGTCATTTTTTAACTCCTCTTCGATCTTTGCTGGCTATACTTTTACGCTCAGCTGTGAAATATAACTAGATTTTCCAATTAGAAGATCTTTTAATGATGCTCAAATTATTAAAACTATTACATCAGTCATATATGTTCTTTCACTTTGTGACTTAACCAGCTTTAGACCGAAGGTGAGATTTTTTCAAATATCTCTCCTATAAAGAATAATGTTAGACGTGTTACCAAAGGTAACTTGGGAAATGACAAATATGATTATTAAGACTTTTATTACTGAAATACTCACAAGATATTGAGTATACCTAATGTGACTTTTGCTAGTTTTTCGTTAGATTCTTTCCAACTTTTATCATGTAAAAGTCTATTATTTGAGACATCTGTAATACTGTCTATGAAATTCAAAACGAAGGAATCACAATTATTTTTGGCAAGGTCTGGAGCAGTTACTTTCATATACTCTACTAGATCTTATAGGATCACAATATTAATATAATACTCTTTACCGAAAGTGAACTATAGCAATACAAAATACTATTTACTAAATTACTCACCATAAAAAGTTATATACATCTACTTCTAAAGTTCTTACCATTTCTGAATCTGCACAAATTACTTGACTAGCAAGTGGAACATGTTATGATAAGTCTGAATCACTTTTCTTCTTTAAATATTTACAGAAGTGGTGGACGTACAGAGCCTTGCTATTTTTAAGATTAGTTTTCAACACACGCAAGTTCATCTCGATTTCATTCTTAGTGAACAGTTCTTTCTGTTTTGATTCTTTGATATTCTAAAGACTACTTACACCTTCGTATGCATCATCAAACTAGCGCAGAAGCCTTATATTAGTACTAATATAGTTAATTTTTTGATATTAGAATCATGTGTGCACATTCATCAAACATATTTCAAGTAAATCATTAACTATATGTGGCCTGCATACAATTGACAATATACATGAATGCTATATTTTTTTTTTATAAACCATAACTAAGATCCACCCTGTGTGTTTAAGAAATTAATGTGTCTGATTAAACCTGTGCTCACATGGCTATGAGTATTTACTTAATCTGGTTATAAAAATATCATTCTGCATAATCATCATTTGGGATTATAAATCTGATAATAATAGTAATATTTACTAACCTTCAAGAGAATATCAACGAGTTTCAGATATTTTTCTGAAATCTGATCATAATTCTTTTTCACTACTATAATTGCCTAATAAATTATTTCTTTTAACTTATCTTTTGAATACCACGTATCATCTTCTATTAGTTGAAAAATAACAGAAAATGCGATAATATGATCTGAGGGTGAGTCAAGTAAAAAATTATAAATATTTTCATATAATGTGGAAGAAGACATAATGACAAAAAATATAGTGTTAGAATTTCGCTGAAAAAATGATAAGCGACAAATAACTTGAATTCAATTCACCTCTCTTTTTAAATCTCTAATGATTTCTCTATTCATGTCCTCTTTAACTCGCATTCATGTTGGGGAAAAGAAATAGGAGAAATATGCGAGGCACTTTACGTCAAAAATTTTGTGTTAGAGAATAAGAGCATGTGAAATATGCATTGAAGATCTCGACATTTTCAAAGGCGCTGAGGGTAATGCATATACATACTTTTTTCTTTATTTTACTTGCTCAACCGCTCAGTAATAAAGACCTAATAGCATTATACAAATACACTCTAGTCGAAATCTAGTAGAAATAGACTCTAGCATCAGAGGAAATAAACTCATAAATAAATGTTATTCAGATAAATAGGGAAAAAATTCGAAATATCTTGGGAAATCGATTTCTTATGTGTAAAAATTAATTTATCGCATAAGCAGTCATACAGAATTACAGATGATTTGTGATATATCACCTATTACATTATATATACTTTAATGAGGATCAAAAACATGATAATTTATGTTGCACAAGCCTATATGCGTCATACTGAATTTTGTCTTATATGATGATAATTAATAACAGATAGCAATTCAAGCAAAAATCTTCCTGAGAAATCAGAAGTGAACCTGTATGCTATCCTATCCAATCGTCGTCTTAACAGATATTTTTTAACTTCTATCCATCTACTAGAAGAACAATAAATATACTCCTCATATGATAGGGTTAATTTGACTGGATTAATTATTCTAATATATTTTGAGTAATATTTTCTAAAATAAGCATAAAACTCTTCGCAAACTATAACATATTCTTCTTGCGTTTCAGGATTTATTACCATTTGTTCTTTTCTAAGTATACTTAAGAATTTCTTTCTATCAGGAATACCATCATTCTTCACCGCCTCTCAACCTTTTTTTGCTGAAGATTCAGGTCTCTTCTTGTAATTCCTGTAAGTTTGCTGGATAACTGTTACATAGAAATTCTCAAACTGATAGTTATATCGTCTCGCAATCAAGAATTTCCAAGACCGCTTCATAGATCTTCCTAAACTTCTTGAAAATTACTTTATTAAAATAGTTATAGATTAGAGGTTCTAACCCAAAATAGGCTAATCACATTTTTTATTCCGCTTGCAAGTGATACATTCACTAAACGATTATTCAAAATATATCAATATAGCGTAAAAAATAAATTATATTTCAGTTAAAAGTAATAGATTATAATTAAAATACTTTTCAGAATCAGCCAGTCAAAACTGATTAAACAATTGTAACTTTTGTTCTATCTCTTAATCTTAATGCGGGTTGATTAAAATGGTTTAAGTTATTTTGTTTTGCATATATAGATGAGATAAATATTTCACTTGGAGGAGTTGTCCCATTTAGTGCTTTAAATTTTTGATCGTTACCATTGGTAACAGAAATTGGTAAAACCATTTTTTGCCTAGCATTAGTAATATAAGCTGGCTCAAAATTTGGAGTACTTGGCATAGTATTTTTTACTACGGTTGCTTTATATTATGCATAATTTTCATAGCTAGTCGTAAAATTCCCATCATGATCATATGATACCAATGCCAACTTATCCTTTTCTGAGTGTGAGATAGATTGGGAGAAAAGCTCTAGACAGAGATGATTAATTTTAGCTTCTTCTTGTAATATGTATTATTTATATTGCCAGATCTGAAATTCCCTTGTATCAATAGATTGGAGAATTTCCTTTCTTCTTGCATGTTCATTCGAAATAGTATTTCCAGAAATACATCTCTTCAAGTGGTTATCTTGATTGCAACGATTATATACATACCCTCTAGGTATATAAACTAAGGAGTCACATACACTACAATATATATAATCAGTTGGATTACCAGTATGGATTTTATCATTTTCATAAAGCTTTTCACACATTATAATATATCCATTCTTAGAAAGGATTCTTGGATTCTCTTCAAGTATTTCCTAAATGGATCACGGATACGAGAATACCACATTTCTGGTGTTTCGTGATTATGTCTTTTTGTTAAAAGCAATATTGCATCAAGTATTCTTATATATTCTTTAGAGCCTCCATAAGTATTGTTTGCATCAATTAGCTTAGAATAGGTTCTACTATCTAAATCCATAATAGTGTTTTAGTAAATTATAACAGATTATAATGATTTTATAATGTTTAGTGATTTTAGCTGATTTAAGCAATATTATATTATAATAAAACCATATTCATTTTTATTCAATTGTTCGGGTGAAAACAGATTTATAATTTTTCCTACCATGTCATGATTTCGGTTAAATTAGACCCGATCACCATAGACGGCTAAATTATGCACAGCTAAAATGTGTATCACATGTGATCCTCCCTAGTAGTTCCAGGAGCTGGCGAGTTTCCATAAATCACGAGATGATCGGCCCTTTTTAGAAGCACATTGTACAGAATCACATTTACTTTTCGGGTGCACCATTAAAAAACGGTATGGGCAAAACTTTATTAGTTAATTTACGATAATCATGCTTTATAATACTACATATAAAAGTGCTAAACTTTGAGAAGAGGACATCCTCGGAATTCAGGTATCTCGTGACCACTGCATCACGAAAATATTTAAGATAAACCACACTAAATGTACTACGTTAATTGGATAATAAATCCAACGAAATCATGACGATTGGCAAAAATACATTATTAAAATCACGCATCAATACTGTAATACAACCATGTCTGGGAAATCTGCTAGAAACATTAACTCCGATCAATGAATAAAAAAAATTCACAAGATTTTGGCGGGGACTCCGGCTGAAATTTGCCAAGAAAAAAAAATCCGATTCATTAGCTGTAGTAAATCATCTCGTTATCTTAGATCAACCAAGCTTTGTATCACAATATATTGGTTAGCAATAAAGTAAAAAATAATTACAAGTTCGGGAAATTAATCTGGCCATCATACATAATTACATTATCCTTTTATATATTATATCTAATTATTTCTGCAATCTAACTTTTCACTGATAACTCATACAATAACTCTACTTAAAGATTATCACGCAATTTACTTTTCTTTGGGCTTACTGAAGGTACGCCAAACGATTCGAGTTGCTTGTCATGTGCTGAATTTTTCCTCTTGCGATCTCTATGTGCACGTGAATTGGAAAGTGAGACATCATTTGTATGGTCGCAAATTACCTTCAACGTGGCCTGAAATGAGATGAACTGATAATGAGATGTTGTATAATATCAACTACAATGACAATGATATAGTACCTTGACATCTGACATGAGCGCATAAAAACCTTCAAGAATTGCCAGCGATTTCTGGGTGTTTGGCATTCTGGTCTGGGAAAGTCTTCCAAGGCGTAACACGTTTGTGGCCTTACAATCCATCCCATACGTTTCGTGAACCCACCCTTAGCATGAGAACAAAAAAATATTAGTTATTAAAATTTTTGAAATTTAATCATTATATTTGTCTACTTACCCCAAGATTGGGTTCCGAGAACATACGTGCGATGGAGATCGTCTCCAGATGCATTCGAATTAGACTTGAAAAAATCGTACAAAACATCACGCATAGCCACGGAAAGATCAATACGATCCTCTAATATTTTTCTGCGATTGGCGACCGGTAGACCCCCACTTCTGAGCCCAATTATTGCTTCGAGACTATTAACACTGTTTTTTAACGTACCCCGAAAATCACATTTCTGGCCTATTCGTGCGCGAAGGACAATCGAACGCCCTTCATTCCTGCGTCGAGAAGAAGCCCAGCAGGCGATTTCACCACTACAAAAATTGGAAGAATAATGGGTTAATCAAATGAAGATCAGACTGTATTCCTGTCTATACTTACACATCCATTTTCAGATCTTGTTTTTCTAAGAATCGTTTTGTCAACATGTTCGAAAAATCATTGTCAAAATCGCTTTCTGAGATGGGTAGTTCGAGTCCTTTTAGGTTTTCTGTACTGTGACAAGAATTGGAAAATGAATAATCAAAAGATATAAAGTAATCCTACATTGACTAACTTACTATGTTATTATAGCACGTCTGATGCTGTCAACAATATCTTTCTCCTCTTTTGTTAGCTCAACATGATTATTCTTTTCAATTAATTCCGGAGATAAATTTTCGATCTCCTTAACAATGTTTGCGTTTTTTTGTTTTGTTATCTAAAAATGAATTGGTCAGCAACATTTAAAATGCTATAACAAGAAAACCTTACCAACCTTCTCTACTTCATTGAAAAAAAATGTCACAACATCCGGTATATCTGATTCGATTAAAGTAACTTCCCTTTCGAAGCTTTCTGTTATCTCTTCCCAGTCATTCTTTGAAAAAAAAGATCTTATTAGGCCATCCTCAGTAAGATCAAGTATGTTCCAATAAGCGAGACTACGAGTGAAAATCCCATGATCAAACATATTCATCAAAATTCATTGGCCTTTGATAATTCAATAAACTCACTTTAAACATTTTTGGGCCTCCGGAATGGTTTCCACATATCTTGCTAATGTCTCTCCAACGTTAGTACCACTACGGAGGATCCACGATCGACATGTTTTTGGCGTTGGTTTATGATCTTCTATCCGTTCTACAAATTGATCTCCGGCATTTTCCTCCACTTTTACATAATCATTGATCTTCTCATTCACTTCTTCTTGGCCGTTGATTGTCTTCTTCAAAGACAGATCTAACGGATCGGAAATTTGTGGTCGTTGATCCTGTGCATAAGAGTCATGGAGTAACAAATGGTGGAGGAATATTAATATTGGGATATCATTTTTAAAATACGAAAAAAAATACCAATTACCAAGTATAATTCTTACATTAAGAATAAGATTTCCACTTCCTGGTGACACTCCTAGTACTGCTTTTGGTAGTGATGATGACGTATTCTTTGTAGTTTTGGCCTGTTCACGCAACAAATAGTAGAAAATGCTCGCATAAAAAATTTTATATCAAAAATTTTATTATTATATCCTAACCTTTGGTAGCGATAGATTTTTTTTCCGCCTTTGTTGACGGACAGGAACAGGTTGGAAATCATCATCATCGGACTAAATACATGAAGAAAGAGTTAGTTTCTATCAGACAATCACCGTTCTGTCGATTCTAAACTTTTAAATAAAATAAATGCATACTTCTTCACGATCCCTTTTTGATATAGTTGATCCAGAAGCGAAAATTCCATTTTTGTTCATATTTATATGCCCGTTAAACCCGCTGATATTCTCACAGGTAATTGTTGGTTGATGGAGATATACCTTGCTATGAGATCTTTCATTGTTCCAACTTCTTGCAACTTGACGGTCGTTTCCATTACCCTAATATAAAGGAACAATATCCGCTGGATCAGCTAGAAGCCTTTAGACACTAGAACGACCTAGAAAGTCGCCAATGCCCCAGCAGGGCCAGTGTTAGGTAAGCTAGAAACTTGAACGCAGAACAGGACCGAACGACCTAGAAAGTCACCCTAACGACCTAGAAAGTCGCCCTAACGACCTAGAAAGTCGCCTGCGCCCTAACAAGGCCGGTATCAAGAACAGAACAGAACGAGCTAGAAGATCACCCTCGCCTTATTGTATAAAATTTTACATTTCTAACATAAAGGTTCAAAAAGCACTTATACTCGCCTTCTTCTTGTATCTATTGAGCAGTAGTTGCGCCTTTTTTTCTCTACTGCCTTCCTCCTCCTTAGCAATTTCTTCGAGACTTTTAATGTAACAGTCGATTTTTTGTTCAAACGGTTCTATATCACAATTCTTCAGAAAATCTCGAATTTCCCATTCTTCAGAGACGCGATCGAAATATTTATGTACGTTGGACATGACTATTAAGATTGTGTTGGTGTAAAAAAAAAAATTTGCAGTTATTATGATTCACATAACTTTTGACGTCATTCGTGCATATGGAATTTTGCCGATCACATTAGATTAGTACTGTATACTGTACGATGATAAATAAATTCCAACAGAAATTTTATCGTTATTGATTTTTCAGATATATTAATGAGGCTAGAGAAGCAAATGAAATGTATGATGCTATCAAAGAGGGAGGGAGTACGCGGATCCTAGGCCATTTAATGCGAGTCCCAGCATCAAG